AAATCAAAAGATGTATCAATCATTGTAATGAAAGACTAAGTAGAAAATGATGAGGAGAGGGAAATTGAGATAAGTACATTACAGCTAAGTTATGTTAATCATGGAATTAAGTAATACCAACCTTTTGAAGCACATAAAAGTATTTAAAAAGAAAATTACAATCATACTTTTTTGTGTTCAATATTGTGGTTGTATGTTGTAGGGGTGCTCTGCACAGAGAAACTGCCTTTATATTATTTTCCTTTGCCCACCTGTAGGACCATTGCTGGATACAAGGGTGTGGAGGTTCTGTATGAACTGGTGTCCTGGCCATAATTGTGCTGCCATCTTTGTGACTGCATCTTTTTGCAGCTGTCTCTTAGTGGAATGACACGGAGAGCTGGATTTGCCATGGACTGACATTCTCTAATCCCTTTTGTGGAGTAAGCAAATGATGGAAATCCTTCATTCATCTGACTTCTAAGCTGCATCTCTGTCAAACGGGATGCTGTTTCAATTTGGCTTTGGTGCCAAAGATCTGGTAAAAGGTTACATTCACACAAAGCTGTTCGAAAGAATCATGTGACTGGAAGGGGCCATTTAGGTCCCAAGCCCAACCCCCTGCTCAGTGCAGGGGGTTAAAGCATTCGTGACTGATGGTTGTTCAGCCTCTGTGAAAACCCCCAATGATGGTGAGTCCATTACCTCCCTAAGTAGTTGGTTCCATGGTCTGACTATTGGGAAGTTTTTCCAGTTGTTAATTCACCTTCCTGTGACTTAACCCTGCTGTTTCATGTCTTACAGTCCTGGATGGTACAGAACAAGTTGTGGCAACAATACTTTAAGTACCTGAAGAGTGCTATCATATCATTCCTGGGTCTTCTTCTCTCAAGGCTAAGCATACCCAGTTCCTCCAAGCTTTCTAGTTCCCCAACTGAACAGAAACCTTCTTAAAGTGTGAGGTCCGGGACTCAGGTGATCCGGGTTCTACTGCCCGCTCAGTCATGGAGCCAACTGACTTCAGGCCAGTCACAGACTCTCAGCTCAGCCTTGCTCACAGGGTTGTTGTTGCGGGGATAAGATTGAGAGCAGGAGGAAGAGGAGAATGAGTTCTTTGTAATAAAAAAGGCAGGATAGAAATCTAATAAAATAAATATCTGTCTGTGCAGAGTTGAACTATGATTTCTTTTGATGATGTACTTCTACTGATGCAGCCTAAAATTGCATTTGCCTATTTTCCAGCCACACCACACTGCTCACTCTTATTTCCATTGGGACTGACTAGAATTCCAGGAGCCTTTCCACACACACTATGGTCAAGCCACGTAACCCCCACTTTGTGCTTTCGACGACTTTTCCCTAAATCAAGCACCTTGCACTTAACTCTGTTAAACTGTATCTCGTTATTTTGTGCCCGGTCTCTAAAAATATCAAAATCATTGTTTACATTTGTATGATAAAGCACCATCTCCGAGTATAGTTCTTCAGCAGGCTGTAGCTCCACCTAGTAGCAATGCAAGCAACACACACTTAACTCGCTCGCCAATCAGGATACCATGGAGTACTTTGTCTCATGCTTTGCTGAAGCCAGATATGAAGTTACCGACAAAAAAGCTGGTTGCTACTGATCACTGTATTTGTGTCAAGGTACATAGAGAATGAGCAGTTTAGAGACCACTCTAGAATCTTCCCAGGTATGGCTGTCACATGGGCTGTTCTATAATACTCTCCTTTTCACCGTTTCTGGAGAGAGGCCCATTTACCATCTTCTGATCCTTCAACTGGGATTCCTCAAAGCTAATCGCCAGAAGTTCCAAGAGTCCATCCGCTGGCGCTTTCAACCCCCTAGCATGCAATTTATCTAGCGCAGGGGGCGTGAACTCAATTAAGATCCTTACATTTTTCCCGACCATCCCTGTGTCACTGGCAAACTGCATTCCCACCTCATCAGCCTGTTTGTCACATACGGCAGATTAACTGACCTTCTTTTGGTAGGCGACTGAGCAAAAACAGGAATCGAGCAGGAATCCGCTTTTTTCTTACCAGCAGTCAGCACTGCACTGAGCGACTGCTCCATCATTCCTTTTGCCCTCCTTTTATTTGTAACATTTGAAGAAATGCTTTTGGTTACTCTTTGCAATCCTCACCAGCTCATCCTGAGCTTTCGCCTTCTCGATACCACCTCTGCATGCTGGTCCATTTGCCTGTATACTTCCTTACTAACTTATCCATCATTCCACCTGATATATGTGTTCTTTCTAATGTTCAATTTATCCCCAAGCTTTTTGTGCAACTATATGGGCTTCTTTTCTCATCTTCTAATTCTCCCACCAGTGGGATTGTTTCTGATTGCCCCTTCAGTATCTCCTTTATAGCAAACGCTCATGCCATTAAAACACCTTTTAAGTTTTCCTGCCATGGAATCCCACTTACTATTGCTCTTAGTTTATTACACTCAGTTTTCTTCGAGTCCAAGATACATGCATGATTACATTCAGCTTTAGTTTTCCTTAAAATGGAGAACCTGAGCATTGCATGGCCATTTCTCCTCAATTCCTGATACTTGCACCTCATCACCTAATTCTTCTCTATTGGCCAGAATCTCGCTAAGGATGCCAAAGCTTTTGTTCCTCTGAAAAAGAAGCAAGGCAAGTAACTAATTTTCAGGAGACGCCATACTTTTGAAAATTTGTCTCCCAACAAATATCAGAGTAAGGATGATTTTTATTACTATTATTACTATTTCCTCCTGCCTTGAAACATCTATAATTTGCTGTTAGAAAGCATTATCCACATTTTCGGAGCAAGTGGACTGGCTGGTTGGTAGTAGATACCAAACTCAATGCTGTTTTTATTCCTTCTTCCATTTAATTTAAGTCAGATGCTTTCAATAGTACTGCTATATCCTTTCACTCATATTTTGGTGCAATTGTGTATGTTTTTAACCATCAGTTAAAGAGGTTAACTGAAGGTTAAAAACGTTCCTTTATTCCCTTAAATTGCCATATTCTACTCATAGGAGTTATCAGGCCAAGTTTCAGTAATATGAAGTCATATTGTTGTAAGCCGCCCCGAGGCTTTGGCAAATGGGGCGGCATAAAAATGTTTTAATAAAATAAATAAATAAATAAATAAATATTTACTTTCTTGAATCATGTCTATCCTGTAGATTTCCATACATCCATATAAATACATTAAAAACCATGAACTTCGTGTTCCAACAAGCTCCTTGCGAAGTTTTTACCTACAGTTTTTACTTCTGGGTTTTCATCGCTATCCAATCCAGTCCTTCCACTCCAATTTGCCATTCTTCAAACACATTTCCCCCAGTTTTTGCATGATGCACTTGATCTCCCACCAGCCACACTTCACTCGAGAAGTGTAAACCACGATCCCAGACACTGAATCTCTTTCAGTGTCAGCGTCTTCACAGTCAATTGCTCACTTGCAGAATTCCATTTTTTTTTTGCCTTCTGTTCCTCTTCCATGGACTGAACGGATGGTCGGGAAGACCACTTGAGCCCCAGGGTCCGCGGGCTTCTTCCCTAGAGCTCTGTAGTCCAACACAATGCAGCCACAGTGGTGCTTGGCAACACCATTCATTCCCACCTAGGTGTGCAGGAGGGGAGAACCATCAGTGGGACTCGATGAGTTTGGCAGCCATTTTGCCATCTTTCCACTCGCAAAGCAACATACTTCTCGAGGAATAGGTCTTGGCACACATTCCCTTCTACTCCTCAGCAGGGGTCACCCGCCATGACTATCCTGATGCAGCAAGTGGACCTACACCATCTGTTCTGTAGGACTCCAGCACCTGGCCTCCTGGCCTGTGGGCTCTGCTGTCGAAGGCTATCAACCCTCTTCTGCAGGAACCTCCAAGTGGTTTCTCAGCTCCACTGAATCTGTTCCTCCTCATTCGGGCATTTTGCTCCTCCTGCTGGTCAAGCCATTCCTCTTTCAGTGTGGCCCCCTGCGGCTGCCCTGCAGAACCTCCTGTCCAAGAACGCTTTGTCCTCTCTTACAGACCGAAGAGCCGTGTCGGACCTCTTTCCTTTCCTTCTGGTAGTGCAAACAGCTTAGACTTGCTGCAAGCAAGCACCATGCTAACTTCTGGTGGGAAAACAAAAACAGAGCACACCTTGCAAATGGTATGCCTCCATTTATCTTCCATGTAGGGAGTTTTTTTGTATTAGTCCAACAGCAGAACCTTCTTATTCCTTTCACTGCTCCGTTGGTGGGCCTTCTGAGCATGAACTGCCCACTCGCCTCACGGAGAAGGTCTCCTAGGGACGTGCTCCCCCAGACTCTGCTGCCAAGCTCCTGATAGCAATCCTGCTTGTTCATCCAGTGAGTGAATGGCATCATTTCCAGTTGTGGTGTTTATACTGAAAGGTGCAGTCAGCCTGTGGCCCACCCTCTCATGTTACTGGTCAAAGAAATGGGTGTGTTCCCAGAGGACATGCCCATGACTGGCAACCCAAGAAAACATTATGTTGTAATTATTATACACATGCCTGTGATATGGAAGGAAACATACTCGGTCAAGAATAGGTTGTGTCCATGCCCAACACCTGTCTCTGTGCTCATCCTCAGAAACAAGTGTATATGCATATTTCCACCTATCTTCAAGAATTAGCTATAACTAAAAACTTCATGAAAAAAGCTAGCAAAAGGGTTAGGCCAGCCTTCCCCAACTGTGTGCTTTCCAGGCATGGTTGGACTGCAACACCCAGAATTCCCAGTCAAGGTCCCTGCTGGATGGGAATTCTGGCAGTTGTGGTCCAAATGCCTCGGAAGGCTACCAGGTTGGGGAAGGCTGGGTTAAGCTATTTCTACAATAAGGAGACCAAAAATTCAGTGTACACTGCCGGTAACTTTATTTTTAAAGAACAGGGCAATTTCCTCTCTTCCCTGTTTGGATCTGATTGAGTTTTCCTTCAAGAAGACGCAGCAACCCCAGAATTCCAGTAGTAGCCAAACTTATCAAACGCATACTGATCAAATAAAACCATTGATCTTACCTCAGCTTTTATTTTATTGTCACCAAAGCAGAGATGCTGTAAGTAAGCAGCAGCGTTGGATTGTACTGAGGGGAACTGGTGCTGTAACATCTGAATGACCTCTGGAAGTTCTGGATCTCTCCATCCAAACTCTCTGTATATAAAGAAACAAGAAGAGGTTTAGCAACAGCCCCAGTAATCCTAGCAGTGTCTCTCATTGCTCAAGTACTAATGGCTTAAAGCACCAAGCGAGCAGGAAACATATGGGGGATTTATTGGAATCGCTGCCAGAATGAACATAAAAAGGAGATCACTGCCATTACTACCCATGACTTTTAAAATGCTGGAACCGTTATAGCTTTGACTTGATTTGTTTTCTCAAAGTTCTATTATTCTAAAATAATAGAAATGAAATGCACTATAGGAAGCCCTGATAAAGGTCAAGAAAACAAAATATACAAAAACACAGCCAATGTGCACAGACATGCGCCCTCAATGATGCGGAACACAAACAGTCCCAAGTACCAGATTTGGAGTGCAGGAGGGGAACTGGAGAGCAGTGTTCTTCTCAGAGCAGGCTCAGAGGGGCAGGGACATCAGCGTGCAGCCGCCAACAGCGCATGGGCTGAACCGCAAGCTGCGTGTTTTTCCTAGCCTGGCCTTGAGAGTGGCACTATTTCTACAAGCATGCAAATCCTCATGCCTACTCTCCCTCTCAAGCCGGACCACTGTGGTGCTCTTACAAAGAAATGTGTCACGGCATGGAAGGATCCATGGGGATAGAATCGTACCTTTCCCTGCTCTTTCCCCCCATATTATCTGCACCTGAATGAACCATGAACACTCCTTTCTCTCCATCCTTCTGGTTTTTGTGTTCTACCACACACCCCAGTGATTCCTCGATTCCACAGAGAGTTACTTGTGCACTCAGTGTCCAGGCAAAAAGCAAAGCAGCCGAGTCCGTATGTATATTCAGTGTTGTTCCAACAGATCACTGCACTACACTGCCAAAAGCTGCGGGAAGTGGAGGGCAACTGTGGGGCCGCAGGGCATGTGCGAAGGGCAGAGGAGGAGCAAAAGCAAAGACCAAAGGCACAGATAAGGACGGACATCAAAGCAAGGGAAGCGAAAGCAACCACAAAGGGTGCTGCTCCTATCACATCATCACACGCAGGGGAGCGTTCTTGCCGTTGCTCTGGTGCAGTTCTCAGAAACAAAGTCACACGTACGTTTTCCTTTCAATACGACCGAGCCGGCAGAAATGAGGAGTAATCAAAAGCGCGCCTGCCCAGCCTGATTGTGTCATTCTTTGGTTACGTTCTTACTGGAAATCAGACTTCAAAACACGTTTGAAGACTGACTAACCTGCTCCAATGTGGTAGTTAACCCAGACCTCTGTGTTGGCCCCAAGGTAGCAATCCCTGGATTTTTGGATAGTTGATTTCAGGGTTCAACAGAAAGCAGGAGTCATTTCCTCCATTGTTCACTAAGCATAGCTAGAGGAGGTTACACCTTCTTCTCTGTCCCCGCTTTCCACAATTTGTGTTTAGTTTCATGAATGCATTCATCTTATTTGGAACGTCTCCTACTTGGTTTCGAAATTTGAAAGGCGATACAGGGGATTTGTTTCTTTTTCTGTTATTATAACACGAATTTGGGAAGCCATGTTTATACTTAGAGTAATTAATTTGTTTTTTTCATACAGACATTGTGAGGAAATGGTAATTTAATCTCCATATGTGATGGCCATTTGAAAAGCAGATGTTCGCTAACAAAATTAAAAGTTGTTTTTAGCAATTTCTAAACATGCAACAAAATAGCTTTCTAAAGATGCTAAATCTGTCAACCATGATGGCTCCCTCATGCCCTTCGAATGCAAGATTCTTTAATTTTAAAATGGTTTTAAAAACACAGGCATGTGGTGAAGATAGTGCGTATGTGATAACCACACTTAAGGGAACAGTTTTCTGGATAGGACATGGCCCCAATGACTATTTGAAGCACTGCAGCCTTCTTTGTACTCCCAATGAGCTTCTCTGGATCGATACAGAATTTGCTCCGTGGGACTTTCCCACGCCATCCTCACTGCCGTCGCTGAAATGTCTTTCCTAGTGTTGAGAGACCTCCAGGAAAGGCCTAGGATGTGTGTGGGCATCCTGTCGGATCACAGGTGTGTGCATGAGAGGATGCCCTTTGTGGCAGGACTGATGGTCCAGATTCCGACGATGGGGTGCATGCAGGGGGGGTGCTCTCTCTGGGCAGGACCGACTGCTCCGGCTCTGATATTGAGGCGGTTGTTGAAACGTCAAGGTCTTGAGCTTCCACTGGTTTCTGCTATGGGAGGGATTAGCTTAAGGGAAGAGAAGGGGACCAGTCAACTTGGCCAGGGGAATGAGGAGCTGCAACTGCTTGAGGGAGGAGATGTGGAAACGGGCAGCATTTCTGAGGGGGGATTCCCACCCTCTGATGCTGTAGACCTGATGGTGAGATCCCACTGTCGCAGGGTGGCCCAACCGGGGACACAGTGGCGTGCCCAGTTCCACAGTGCTCCTCTCCCCAGGGAAACACGCAGAAGGGTTCATAAAGAAAGCTTTGGGTAAAGGATGTCAGAGAGGGTTCAGTATTTCGCTTTGTGCATGTTCAGAGACTTTTATGTGATAAAAAAGACTTTTGGCAAAGAAATGCTGGTGAGATTGATACTGCTGGGAGACAGAAGCACGACTCACAACAACAGAATATGGTGCAGGGTTGCAGTTGGAAGAAGGGAGAAAATCAGGCTGGAACTACTTTGCCACTGAGAGCGTTTCCTGATCGCAAGAGAAGCTTTATGAGGGTGCAGTAGAAACGAGGGAATAAAAATCCTGTTGATTAAGCAGTTTCTGCTCTTTCAAACTCTAGGCCCAAACACAAGGTATTATGCTTTGGGGAATCCATTTTCCTAGCTGACGATTTATGTGGAATTATGTCCTATTAAACCAGCGTCTACTCTCCTGTGTGGAGGCGTTTCCCCTCCAGCACTGCTGAAATTACTGTTACAATGGCAAAAATCTGGAAGGCAACAGGCAGCGGTGTGAGGAGGAAATTTTTTCAGTGTTTTGTGGAAAATGTTCAATTGTATAAATCCATTAGTAAAAATAAATGCATGCCAACTGCAAACACAATCTTAGGCAAGTTTGGTAGGTTCCACATTGTAATTAATGTTTTTCAGGTGATTATCCTTAGCAAATATGTAAGAGAATACAAATACAGTGGTACCTCGGCTCACAAACTTCATCCGTTCCAGGACTCTGGTCGCAACCGAAATTGGTCGTGAGCCAAATCAAACTTCCCCTTAAGGTTCAATGTAAATAAAATTAATCCGTTCTATAAATATATTTTTTAATCACAGGGAAGATGGGCATGATTGCTGGTGTGCTTGGGGAGGGAGACAGGTGCGATCGCAGGTGCGGTGAGGGGGGCAGACGGGCACGATCGTGGCCATCCCCCCCCCCGAGAATAACTGTGATCGCACCCGTCCTCCCTGCACGAGCGCGACCGCGATCGCAGCCATCTCCCCCCACCCCCGAGCACAACCGCAATCATGCCTGTGCAGGGAAGATGGGTGCGATCGCGATCGTCACCTGATGCAGAGTTCGTGACCTGAGGAAAAAGTTTTCTGAAATTTCTGTTTGCGACCTGATTTGGTCATGAACTGAGGTGTTCATGAGCTGAGGTACCGCCATATATTATTGAAATGTCTATCTGTCAGGGTGAAATGGAACTCATAAGGGGTGGCATCAAAGCTGAAGGTGCACCAACAACTTTAGTCGAAGCGTGCTAACTCTCCTGAAAAAGATTGTGGTTGCCAGAAGTTCTTAGAGCTGCTAAAATTACTGTGCTAACCATTTCGGTACTGTTTTTTTCCTCTTGAATTTGAACTATGTAAGGGAGGAGCATGCTAAGGTCTTAAATTTTTGTACAAGCATCCCAGTAAAAATACCGACAAAGTATAAAATCCAACACATATTAAGGAAGCAATCCTGGGGCCTCTTAGACTGCATCTGAGGGGTCAGAGAATATCCTGGTTCGTCAGTCTGAGGTCAGAGAAGTCCTCTTTCTACTGCCTCCAGCTGGCACAGAAAGAACCACAATAGGTTGCCTGTGAGGTCCAGAGCTCAACCTTGGAGAAGGGGAGAAAGAGGAGTTCACAGGGCAGGTTGGGGAGCACGCTGGAGAGTCCAAGGCGCACATTGTCCTGAGGCCTCCCCGGCCTCCCCCAGCTTGACAGGCAAAAAAGCCCACCGAGCAAAAAATGCAGGGTGGGAGGACAAGGAGGTGAAGGTTGCCCCCATTCCTCCTCCTGTCATGCGTAGGCAGCTCACTAAGCCTCCACATCTGTGGGCTTATGCTCACCATGTGTGTGACCCACAGGACTGAGGTTGTATTTTTCCCCTCGAAGGCGTCAGGTCAATTAACTGTAGTGCACCGAGACAAGAAATTAACAGGAAGTCCTTTTTGTTTGCTTCATAAACATGCTAAATGGACATGTGAAAATAAAGATGCTAATTTCAGCGACTGATATGGGAAGGTGCGGAATTCAGCTCTATTAGAGAAACTTCAGAGACCAGCAAGTTAGGTCTCTGAAGAACCATCTAGATATTTTATTTATTTATTTTCCAATTTATATCTGCCTTTTTCCTACAAAGGCCTCAAGGCAGTTTACATTATTCTCCTCCTCCATCTTCTCCCCACAACAACCACCCTGTGAGGTAGGTTAGGCTGAGAGTCTGCGACTGGCCCAAAGTCACCCAGCTGGCTCCATGGCCGAGCGGGGAATAGAACCCAGATCCTCTGAGTCCCAGTCCCGTGCTCTTAACCACTACACCACACCGGCTCAGATATTGACACATCTGAGTGTGTTTGGTCAGCTTTCATCAACTTTATTGACTGGGAAGGAGATGGACTCCACTCTGCCCTGCAACACATGACAAGATATGGACAAGCGTAATTTGCTCTAGGAGCTTTGGACAGTACAACTCTCCGAGAGCGTTTACACTTTGAGATTTCTCCTCCTTGGAAAAGAACCTTTGCACTCCGGTTAGAATTGGTAGCAATGAGAGATGTACTCTTCTCGTTTATATTTGCTTGCATTTGAATTATTAGTAAATGATTTGG